CAAGAATAGATATGTATATATATATATATATATATATATATACATATAGGCATATTGTACACATTCATGCTGATGATAGAGCATTAAGTGCTCATTAGAAATTTCAATTTCGTATACGAAAAAAGGCTAATCGAAATATAATTTAATAATCATAAAATTGATTAAATTGGGTAGAGTGAATGAATGAATGAATGAATGAATGAATGAATGAATGAATGAATGAATGAATGAGTTGAATAAGAGGAAAGAATGGTTGAAGGAAATAAATAGCATGTTGTAGTATTTTGGGTTGTTATATGGTTGAATTTGGGACAAAATGAAGGAGGAAGAATAAGAGGAAGTGTAAATTTGCATCACAAGAGGCGGAATTCGTCGCCTTTCGGGGCTTACTTGAAGAAGACTGAAACGAAGTACAAAATCAAATCGAGTAAGTTAAGAGAGGGACTCATTTCCATCTTTTGTTATCAACTCTTTCTTCCCACTGAATTTCTTTTTGGCTGAAGTAATTATGGAAATTTTTTTTTTTTGCCAAAATTGTGGAAAAAAGCTCCCAAATTTCATTTATTATATGTATGCTTAAATTTTTTTTTCCGAGAGAAATGAAATTTTCCTAGTTTTTCGTCTTATTTTTGTTCCTTTTTCTAACTTAAAAGAAGAATGCTTTTTTTTTTCCCAATATATTAACTATTATCGAAATTGTGATTGAATTCTTATTATGGAAAAATTTTGAGTTGAAAAAAAAAATTGGAATTCTCTATAAATTTTGCGCACACAAAGAAATTGACGAAACAATGCGGTGTGAATTGCGTGAATTTTGACGTACGTAAAAAAGTTGAACAAAAAATGCAGTATTTTTAGTCATTGACTTTTTTTTTGCACGATCATAATAGGATAAGAATACAATTGATTTCAAATAATATTTCTGAATATAATAAATGAATTTTATATTTATCAATAAAAGTGAGCCGCTAAAATTTTAAAATATAATATAATATTATCATAAAATGAATATCACTAAATAAAATTATTTTAATTGAAGAAATTATAGAAGAAAGATACTCTTAAGATGGAATAATGAATAAATAAACTTAAAAGGTAGTTCATATAAGATAAACTTCATTTCAGTTTTCATCTTATTACCTAATCTTACCCATTTTTTTAAAAAAAAATATATATATGTACATTTATATTCTTATGATTCCAAATAAACTTCAGTTCTCATCTTTTTCACTTTTTTCCAGAGTGAAATTTATTTGAAATTATATGAATTGTAAGTAAAAAATTTCATTGCGATTCTTTATACCTTCACCTTAACTTCATCTGTACACAATTAACATATAAGGCAAGCAATACTATAAATGGAAAATACAGAAAAAGTTACTGGTAGTAATTTTAATCAATACTTTTAAATTTGATATTATTTCAAAAGTACTAGATAATTATGAAAGTAAAAAAAAATCAATCAATCAAAAGAATGAAAATAGTTTGATTGGCAAAATGAAATTAATATTTAATTTTTCGGCAAGTATTTTTGATTGTTTGCATCATAGCACATTATCATTCATATCGTTAAGTATAGTTTTTACATTATGGTAAAATAAATATGATTATGATTAATCCCTTTATACAATATAGACAATGAAAACAATGAATATCTCAACGGGGGAGCTGGAAAAGCGGGGAGGGAATTGGATCAAGAATTTTAAGATCAAAAGAATGGATAATAAAAAAAGAGAGGGATAATAAGAGAGGATTTTTTTGTGAAAAAATAAGAGAGAAGCTCTAAAAAAGTATTATACACCTCTGATCGTATAATAATTTGAAAGAAATCTTTCCATAAAGGGTCATTGGTTTTGTGCCTTTTTGACAATATTTGGTGCATTGCTGTCATCATTGATTTAAGATTCTTTCAAAATTCAATTATTCTATTATTCAGTAATTGAGTAGTCTATCCAATTCGATAAATATGGGTAGAGGAATGAAAAAAGGAGGTTGAAATAAGAAAGTGGTAAGGAGATAAAACTGAAAGAAAAAACTCAGTTAAAACTTTTGGAGAAAATTCTTCAAAATGTATATGTATATATCCTTCACTTTCATTTCCTTAAATTCTAAAATGAATTACATAATATTGAAAAAAAATTTTTTCAAAATTTTTTAGGATTTTTGCAAACTTCAAACTCAAGATTTTCAAAGTTGTCGCTGAGATTATTAATTATTAATCAAGTTTAAACCAATCAATTAATGATTAAAATTGATTTTTCAATAACTTTGGTTACTCAATAATATCTAATATTTTGTTTTAAAATTTTTAACAAACATTTATTAAAAATATTCGAATATTTCTCATTTTAAATAACACTG